TATAGTACCGGGCTGACCCGGGCTGAATCGGGTTGTAAATGGGCCAGCCCGACACGATTAACAGGTATAGTTCTAACCAATCCCATTTGAATCTTCTCCTTTATAAAAAGGCAATCTATTTCAATATGTTTAGTCCTTTCATGATATACTGGATTGACAGTTATTTGTAATGTTGTTTTGTTGTCACAATACAAATTAACTGGCAATACTACAGCTGCTCCTAATTCCTTTAATAATCCAACCAGCCAAACAGCTTCAGAGACAACACTGGCCATGCTCCTATATTCAGCTTCTGCTGAACTTTTTGATATTGTGCCTTGCTTCTTGGATTTTCATGAGACCAATGATTTACCATACTTGACCAAGAAACCAGATACTGATCTTCTTGTGTTAGGACACGATGCCTAGTCTGCATCACAAAACACATAGATTTTGTCTAACTTCTCAATGCTGAACAACATTCCCAGTCCTGGTTCCCTCTTTATGTATCTAGCAACTCTCATAGCTGCATCCCAATGAGATTTTTTGGGTTGTTGAAGGAATTGGCTAAGTGCTTGAACTGTGTATGCTATGTCGGGTCTTGTTAGAGTCAAATACAACAACTTTCCTATTAATCTTTGATATTGTCCCTTATCTTCAAGTGCATTATCATCTTCATTCCCTATCAGCTTGTCATACTCTGGTACAGTCAGCTTCACATTCACCTCAAGAGGTGTCCAAGCTGGTTTAGCATCTCCTATCCCCAACTCAGATATAATCTCCAAGGCATATTTTCTCTGATTCACCAGAATACCTCTACTTGACCTGTTGAATTCCATTTTAAGAAAAAACTTTAGCTCTCCTAAGTCTTTAATCCTGAAGGCCTTGTGTAAAGAATCTTTTGTTGCATATATCATCTGCTGATTATTTCCAGCAATTAGTATATCATCGACATAGACAAGAATCACCACTATATCACTTTGATTCTGTTTAATGAACAAGGAATGGTCAAGACTACTTTGCTTGAACTGCAAACTAACTTAGATCTACTAACTGTATCCCCCTGACTTGAAAATCGTTATGGCAACTCCATATAAACCTCATCATCTAGGTCTCCCTGCAAAAAAAACATTGTAAACATCCATCTGTTGGATACGCCAATTCTGCATAGGTGCTAATGAAAGGACTGTCCTAACAGTGTTTCATTATAGCCAAGGCCTTCCTTTTGACTATAGCCTTTGGCCACTAGTCTAGCTTTAAACCTTTCTATTTCTCCATTAGCTTTAAGCTTGACCTTGTATACCCATCTATACCCAATGGGAACCTTCCCTGGAGGCAAACACACCAGCTCCCAAGTTTTATTAGCTTATAGTGCTGCTATTTTCGCATGCATTGCCTCTATCCACCTAACATCATTACATGCTTCATAAAAGGATGTAGGTTCAGATATTGCTAAGAAGACCCCTAAATAAGCTTTGTGAGAGGAAGATAGCTGATCATATGAAAGATAATTAGCCATAAAATGAGACTTCTTGGCTGGCAAAGGTACTACATAGTCTGTCAACCACAATGGTTGTTTAGTCACTTGCCCAGATCTCCTCAAAGGTGTTGAAGTATCTGATGAGTAGAGTTCAGGTTCTTCAAAAATCTCATCCTTATTTGTATGTACAGGAGGTGTAATGCTATCTTGAGCAGCATTAGATTTTGCACCAGCATGAGAGGAACTAGGTGAAGCATCATGTTGCTCTTAATGATCAACAGGTGAGGCACTAGGAAGACTAGCATCAGTAGGCATAGTATGAGGTTGCATATCTGTTCCTTGTAGATCATCCTCTACAAAAACTGGGGGCTGCAATGCATCTTCTATAGAAATAGGAATGTTAGAATCAACATCTGCAAAATGAGAAGGGTGGTTAGGATAAACACCTTCCTGGCATGAGGTTGGTGAAACACCCTCCTGACAGGAGGTTGGTGAAACAAGTCCTTCAATATCCTTGAAAGGAATCACTCCTTCTTTGAAAGTGACATACTTGTTGATAAAGAACTCCTTCTTCTCCAAGTTGTACAAAAGGTATCCTTTAGTAACATTAGAATGCCCCATTAGCACTGCCCTAACTGCTCCAGCACTGAATTTATCCTGTCTAGGTAAGACACTAGCATAACACAAACACCCCAAAGTTCTCAGATAAAGAAGGGTTGGTCTCTTCCCATGGAACAGTTCATAAGAGATTTACCTTGTATCACAACTGAAGATAGTCTATTGATAATATACATAACTGCCAAAACACAATGTCCCCAAAATCTCACAGGGATATGCCCATGAAATCTAATAGCCCTTGCCACCTCAAGAATGTATCTACGCTTCCTCTCAGCTATTCCATTCCGTTGAGGAGTATAGACACATGTTCTTTGATGTACTATGCCCAATTCTCTTAATAGAGCAGTGAAGTTATAATTCACGAACTCACCCTCATTATCTGACCTTATTGTCTTTACCATAGTACTGAATTGAGTGTGTACCATTTTAAAGAAATCTCTTAATACAATGAACACATCACTTTTAAATTTCAATAAGAAAACCCAGGTCACACGAGAATAGTCATCAACTATAGTTAGAAAATACTTATTGCCATCAATAGTAGAAGTGTTATAAGGTCCCCAAACATCCAAATGTAACAATTGAAAAGTTTTAGTACTTCTACTGTTGCTAGAATGAAAAGGCAGTCTGGTATGCTTAGCTAAAGGACAAACATCACACTTATCTATTACATTTCTACAATTCTCAATAGGCAGTCCAAGAATCTCCTTCATGGCTCCTCCAGAAGCATGTCCCAGCCTTCTATGCCATAGAGAAACATCAATTCCTTTCTCCTGTGCATTTAATCCTCTACTCAGTTCTTCTCGTTCATCTGCAAGTAAGAAGAGGTACAATCCATCTTTCTCTTTACTAATCCCCTTGATCCTCCCACTTGAGAGGTCCTGGAATAGGTAAAAATCAGAAAAAAGGTGACTGAGCAATGAAAGTCTCTAGTTACCTTAGAAACTAACATGAGATTGTACTGGAAATCAGGCACAAACAACATATTTTTCACTACTTGTCCTTTAGAAATTATGCAATCTCCTATATGTGATACCAAATTCACTTGACCATTAAACATATACACTTTTCTATAGCTCCAAGAGTCGAGCCTTTTAATATTTTGTAACGTGCTTAAGTCTGATATCATATGGTTAGTTTCCCCAGTGTCTATGATCCATTCTTTTCTAGCTACATTAACCATAAATGGTTGTATCATACCTGCCATGTTAGCCATTGTGTTTTGTGGAACATCTTTGTTTAGCATAATCATAATTTGATTGTACTGATCAACTGTGAACTGTGGTGGCCTAGGAATCTCACTCATGTGTCCCTTCTCTATTGTCTCAGTCCTTCCTGCATTAGGCCCTGCAACATTAGGATTATAGTTTTTAATATTCATATTGTAAGCAGTATTAGCATTGGCTCCTGGTCACCTTTTCTTGTACTTGAAATCAGCAGGATACCCTACTATTTTGTGACATGTCTCCTTAGTATGTCCCTTCATCTTGCAGAAATCACAGTGAATATTCCAGTTCTTCTTTGGTCTATGATTCTGCCCTTGAAAACTTCCTTGAAAATTTCCTCATTTTGCAGTCATGAAAGCTGTGGCCTCTAATCCCTCATTCATCACAGACACATTAGAGACAACTCTTTGGCTCTCTCTCTCTCAATGATCATTGCATATGCTTTACTAACATTAGGAGTGGGATTTGTCATAAGAATCTGACTCTGCGCTTGCTCATAATTGTCGTTAAGTCCCATAAAAAACTGCATCAACTTCTGCCTATGTAATTGTTCAAGAAACTCTTTGTCACGACATGCTGGAATCATACTTTCATACTCATCCTAAAGTTCCTTGAGTTTAGTAAAATATGTTGATACACTGTTAGAGCCTTGGTGCAATGTTGCAATCTCCTTATGCAATTAATAAATTCTAGATGCATTCGCTTTATCAAAGCGCTCCTTCAAATCTTCCCAAACTCGACATGCATTCTTAGCATACACCACTCCTGTCATTAACTCATTTGAAACATAACTCATAATCCATCCCAAAATAATTGCATTAAATCTATCCCATTGGAGACCTAAATCCTCTTCTACATCTTCTCTCTTTAATGTACCGTCAATTAACCCTAGCTTATTTTTACCTAAAAGCCGGATTCTCATTGTACGGCTCCAAATCGAGTAATTGTCGGATCCGGTCAGCTGAATCGATACAATCAGAGCTCCGGTTGTGTCTGAAGGGTGTAGATACAGTGCATGGTTGTGATCGAGATTTGCATTCGCCATTGCCGAAGAAACAAAGATTTTCAGTATAAAATCGAGCAACTCAGTTGAGCAATCTAGCTAATGGATCAGTGGATTAATTGGCTCACAATCGTGGTCCAATCGTTCTGATACCATATTAATCTATGATAATTTAGCAATCAACCATAGATTGTTGATAGGAAACGAGAAGAATAGAGAAGAAGAAATGAAATTTGTTATTAGCCAAGAAGAAGAGAAATGTTCCGGTTACACTGTACAAAAATTAATTGTCTCTATTTATAAGCTCAGCTAATTACTAGCTTAGCTAACTAACTTGTCTAACTATTTACAATAATGCCACCTTACTTAAGTAAGTCTTACTTCCACAGAAAAAACTTACTTTTTTTTTCTTTTGGCGCCCCTAGCAACAGAAACATATGACATTACAACTTTAGAAGTATGCGCTTTCAAAAGAAGGAGACATCTTTTCAGAACCAACATTGACAATTTTCCCTATTTAACCACTATAAATACGATGCAACACGTTAACTTTGATATTCATTAATGCAATGGCACTCTTACAATCCCTTCTCCTTCACTTCTCATTTGTTCTCTTCTTGTTGTCAACATCTATAGTCATTGTCATATATAGCTTCCTTTCCTGGCGGCTCATCATCATCGACGTTATGGTTTTATGTACCAGTCACCTCCTCCTCTTCCCTCTCCCTTTCACTACACATACCTATCCTCGCATCACCATCACAAGCATAAATGCCCACTTCCACCACCTTTATATTTCTATAAATCACCTCCACCGCCATCACCCGTTTACAAGTACAGGTCACCACCACATCCATCTCCTATTTACACCTACAAGTCACCACCGCCACCATCACCCATTTATATGTACAAGTCACCACCACCACCTCCTGTTTACAAGTACAAGTCACCACCACCACCATCATCGCCAGCTTACATGTATAAGTCATCTCCACCACCGCCACCTATTTACAAGTACAAGTCACCACCACCTCCAGTTTATATATACAAGTCACCTCCACCGCCGCCTCTGATTCATAAACCACCACCACCTCCACCTTACTATAATTATGTTTCGCCTCCACCACCATACAAACATCACCATCATCATCATCACCACCATAAGCCAAAATGGTCACCATATTCGTACATCTATTATAAGTCGCCACCACCACCACCTAAATATTAACTTGCCTCTGGTTTACCATGTTGTTTCTCCGCCACCTGTTCTGACTTATTTGTATTGTGGTTTGTATTGCCATAAAAAAAGAAGAGAATCATGATGATGTTCCTTTAGGTAGTACGTATTTCTATTGGTGGTTTTTGACAATGTTGTAATCTAAATAAAAAAGACTGCTATGTTTTTGTTTTGTATACACAATTGTGTTGCAGCAAGACTTTGGAGTTGATTAGGTACTTGAATAGTAAGATTATCCAGATTAAACTAAGATAATTATAATCCTTATGCATAACTATGGTCGTTGATGTACTTAATTATGCAACAAAATTACTCGTGTTACCATTACTGTAAATTTGTAGAATTCTCAGCTAATCAGATCGAGCAACATGCAGATTGATCGACTATCATTTATATCTAGGGCATAGATCCTGTATTGAGGAGAGGAGAGAGAAAGAAGAATAGGAGAGGAAGAAATGAGTCGTATGTAGTAAAATAAAAAGTCACTTACAATTAGGTACTTAACAGTGCATTTATAACAAACTTTGCATTGTTAAGTAATCACCCTAACCAACTAGTCCCTTCTAACTTTTTTAATTGCTAAATGACCCATAACTACTCAAAACATCATTCTTGCACTTCAATACTCCCCCTCAAGCTAGAGAGTGGAAGACATCTAACACTCCCAACTTGGATAATAACAGGTGATGCTGTGCAGCTCCTAATTCTTTGGTCATCAAATCTGCTAGCTACTGTTTGGTGGACACATATTCAGTAGTGATTAGTCATGTCTTGATCCTTTCCCTCAGAAAATGGCAATCAATTTCTATATGCTCGGTTCTCTCATGAAATATGGGATTGGATGCTATTTGCAAAGCAACTTTGCTGTCACAGTGTAAGTGCACTGGTTTAATCATAATGTTTCCCAGTTCTTCTAGCAATCCAACCATTCAAACTACCTTTGCAACTGCTGCAGTCATGCTCCTATATTCTATTTCTGCTGAGTTTTTGCTGATTGTTTGTTGCTTCTTGGACTTCCAGGACAGTAGAGAGTCCCCTAGTTTGATAATGTATCCCGTAGTTGATCTTCTAGTATTTGGGAAAGCTGCCCAGTCTGAATCACAAAACACTGTCAAGTTGTTTGCTTCACCTTTCTTCAGCAGTATACCTAAGCCTGGGGATCCCTTGATGTACCCCACCACTCTCAAGGCTGCATCTAAGTATGATTGTTTAGGATTCTGCATAAATTGACTCAACACTTGTACATCAAAGCTTATATCTGGCCTTGTGATGGTCAAATAAAGCAGCTTTCCTATCAACTTTTTATATTTTCCGGCATCCTCCAATTCCTTATCTTCTGTGTTCCCAACATGGTTATCATAGTCCACAATAGTTAGCTTATGATTGAGCTCCATTGGAGTTGCAACTGGCCTGCACCCACTCAAGCCTGCCTCTGAGATGAGCTCCATTGCATATTTTCTTTGGTTCAATACAATTCCTCCTTGTGATCTTAGAACCTCTATTCCAAGGAAGTATCTTAGTTCCCCTAAGTCCTTCATTTTGAAATTTTAATGAAGAGTCTTCTTTACTTCTGTAATCATATTGTGAGAGTTCCCAGTGATCAATACACCAAGATGATCACAATGTTCTTGCCACATTTCTTGGTAAAATGTGAGTGATCATGTGAGCTTTGAGAGTAGCCAGCTTGTAGTAAGCATTTGTAAGCTTAATGTAACATTGCCTCGAGACTTGTTTCAAACCATAGAGGGATTTCAACAATCTACACACCTTATACTCCCCCTGCTTGTGAAATCCAAGAGGTAGATCCATATAGACTTCTTCCGTGAGGTCATCTTGTAAGAAGGCATTATTGACTTCCATTTGAAACAATGGCCAACATTAAGCTTACAAATGCTTTACTGCAAGCTGGCTACTCTCAAAGCTCATATGATGTTCCTTTAGGTAGTACGTATTTCTATTGATGGTTTTTAATAATGTTGTAATCTAAATAAAAAAAGACTGCTATATTTTTGTTTTGTATATACAGTAGTGTTGCAGCAAGACTTTGGAGTTGATTGGGTACTTGAATAATAAGATTATCTAGATAAATTAAACTAAGATAATTGTAATCCTTATGCATAACTATGGTCGTTAATGTACTTAATTATGCAACAAAGTTACTCATGTTACCATTACCTTCATATATATATAGATATATGCAAAAGCTGGCAGTTACTGCTAACATGCCACATTGATGGTTGGTCTAATCAACTCGACTACGTCTTTCATTAATGTTTAATCGATTTGTAGCATGTTACTTAATTACTATTCCATCTATCTCACTTTATTTGACATGATTGGGATTACGAGGGTTAAATAATCTAATTTTCTATATGAATTTAGGCATAGAATCTTTAAGTTTTTCGAAATAAAATTTATATATTTAAAAACTAAATAAAAAGTATTATAAATCATAATAATTAAGTGTAACGACTCGGTCGGTCATTTTGAGAGTAATAGCTCCGATCCTTTATTTACTGCTTCTCCTATATCTATTTCTGCTATTGTGACTTGCCGGGAGGTTTCGTTTTGGTTTTTGAAGTGTTTTGGGACACTTAGTCCTTAAATGGAGATTTAAGCATTAGAATTTGGACCGTAGTCAAAACTGTGTGAAAATAACTCCGGAATGGAATTCTGTTGGTTTCGTTAGCTTCGTTAGGTAATTTTGGACTTAGGGGCATATCCGGATTGTGTTTTGGAGGTCCGTAGCTTATTTAGGCTTGAAATGGCGAAAGTCGAATTTTTGGAGATTTTGACCGGTAGTGGACTTTTTGATATCGGGGTCGGATTTCGATTCCTGAAGTTGGAGTAGGTCCGTAATGTTGAATATGACTTGTGTGCAAATTTTGGGATCAATCGGACATGGTTTGGTTGGTTTCAGCATCAGTTGTCAAATTTGGAAGTTTCAAGTTCTTTAAGTTCTAATTGGAGGATGATTTGTGATTTTAGCGTTGTTTGATGTGGTTTGAGGGCTCGACTAAGTTCGTATGGTGTTTTAGAATTGGTTAGTATGTTTGGTTGAGATCCCGGGGGCCTCGGGTGAGTTTCGAGTGGTTAACGGACTTGGAATGGAAGTTAAGAAATTTCTGAAGTTTGGTCTTTTGCTGGTATGATCGCACCTGCGATGGTATTAGCCGCAGGTGCGGAAGGTTGAGCGCAGGTGCGGAAGGGGTGGAGATCAGCAGAAGTCGCAGGTGCGATGGTTTCTCCGCACCTGCGATAGCGCAGATGCGGACCAGTGGTCGAAGAAGCAGAGGAAACCAAGGTTAGTCATTTCCGCAGGTGCGCCCACGTGTTTGTACCAGCGGGCGTGCAGGTGCGAGCCCAGGTTCCGCAGGTGCGGAAATGCCTGGGCAGTGTTTAAAACCGAAGGGCTTCATAATTTTTGTCATTTTGGACTTTGCAAACTCGGTTTAGAGCGATTTTTGAGAGCATTTTCAAAGCATTTCTTGAGGTAAGTCCCTTGTGCTTATTTTTGATCAATAATCTTGCTTCCCCATTTATTTTTCCACCTAGTTAGTGTGTATTTAAGGTGGAATTTAGGAGTTTGAGGCTAGGGATTTGGGAAGTTTGATTTGTGGATTTGAAGGACCATTTGATGTCGGATTTTAGTAAATTTGATATGGTTAGACTCGTGAGTGAATGGGCTTTCGTATTTTGTGACTTTTACCCGATTCCGAGACGTGGGCCCGGTCGACTTTTTAGGACGGATTTCGGAATTTTTATTAAAATCTTGATTTCATTATTTAGATTAGTCTATTATAGTTGTATATATGATATGTAATTGTTTTGCATAGATTTGGGCCAGTCGGAGTCGGATATTCGTGGAAAAGGCATTGTTACCGATTGATTGAGTTTGGTTCGAGGTAAGTGGCTTGCCTAACTTTATGTGGGGGAAATCTGTTACACCCCATATTTTCGTACGTGGAAGTACGCCATAAGTAAATTGATATAAGCTCGAAAATGAGATGTTACATCCCATATTTTCGGACGTTAAAGTTTCATTGTAAGTTAATCGACGTAAGCTCGGGAATGAGATTATTTTTGAGGTTATAAGTATTATGCTATTTCAAACGAGTGATAAGTAAATTCGTGAAGGAGGGAGGGTAAGTGAATTGAAGAAAGTGATTTTCGTTGAAGTTTGTCAATTTGGATAAAATACGGTCCGAGCTATAATACCCGGTATTTATGGACTAGTACCATACAAGGTACCACATGACCATGATAATAAGGTGTATAAGGTACGTAAAAGTGAGTAGTATTTTAAGTAAGTTGAGGTAATTCGTAATTATGTGAGTAATTGATTAATTATTAGGTAATGGGAGATTATCCAGTTAATTAAGGAATTATTGGGTGATTAATTAAAGAATTGGGTAAGATTAAACCCCTCCCCCCCACGTGGCAGCAAGCCACCCCAAGTATTGTGACTCTTAAGTCACTATATTATGTGGCAAGATTAGAATGTAAGATTTGGCATTCTTAAGAAGGTGAGTCACCTATCCATTTAATATGTAAGTCTTGAAAACATGAGAACTATCCATTTAATATATAAGACTTGAAAACATAAGGGTCACATCCATTTTTAAGAACGTGATTAGCTCAAATTTTGTTATAGTAACGTGAATCTTCTATCACAAATTAAAGATGGTCATATTCAGCAAGGTAACTGTTACGACCAAACACACTCACGCAAGTATACGTGGTCGTCAAGTAATATAGTAGTGAGTAGAGTATCGTTCCCACGAAGACTTATGATTAACTTTTAACTAACTCAAACTCAAATAACTTATCGATTTAAGCGATTTCTCACAAAATAGATAATTTTCTAATTTACCACCTAAAAACTATCAAGTAATGAAATACTAGAGATCAACCACAACACTTAAATGATTTCGAATAACAATCAATAAGAGATAATATTTCAGGGTCACGGGTTATCTAACAATCATGTTGCATTCTTAGCTTAAAATAACTAATTGATTTATCTGGATTGTTGATTGACAAGGTTGATATTACTCATAAGAATCTGTCGAGTTCTTACTCGTCTATTTAAGCTAACTTAATGCCTATATGTCTATGGAATTAAGATTAACAAGAATGCATTTACACTTCCCGTATTTCTACAGAGCAAGACAATTAGGTATATTTCTATCCTAATTGTGAATCTGTTCCCCGATGTCCGGGTTTAAGAACTTGCTCTATTTAATTCTATATGCAATCTAGAATTTCCACTTTCGAGTTCAACTCTAGATTCGTAGATAGTAATTCACTGTTAGCTACTCAGCAAATTAATTAAAAACAGAATTAAATAAACAACCCAATATGATAAAATCAACTTTGTCAAATTAAACTTCAAACATCAACATTCATGTATCACCCATGACCCTAGAATAATAGGGTTCTTAGCCACTCATGTTCATGCAATCATCAAATAATTCACAAGAGCGCATAAGAATCAATAAAAGAAGGAAAAGATAAGAAATCCAGACGAATTCCGTGGTTTCCAAGCTTTGTCGTGGCTTTTTCCCCCTTTCCAATATGTTAGATGACCTAAAAGAGGCGCTTATATATTGCATACAAAAGTCGTGGGCCAAAATTCTCCTATTTCTAATCCAAATCAGCTTCAGGGATTGATGCTAGGGTGGATGCATCGCATCCACCTCGTCCTCCACTTCTCAGCTTCGCATGCTAGGGTGGATGCTTCGCATCCACCCTTTGTTCCTCCATCTCAGTTTTGCCCAGGTGCGGATGCTAAGGCGGATACTATGGGCCGACTTCACTGCTAAGGGTGCACAAAATCTGATTTTTTTCTAGATTGGATGCGACGCATCCAATCCCTCTTCCTCTAGCTAGAGCACCTTTTCTTCATATTTTTGCACTCCAAACACCTTAAATCATCACACACAACTCAATTAGTCATAAAACCAATAATTAAACCATGTTGGACATTTTAAAGATCAAATAGCATCAAAAAGCGGTTAAAACATGGGTAAAGTAACATCAACACATATCGAAATATGCCCAACATCACCACCCCATACTTAAACCTTTATTCGTCCTCGAACAAACCATCACTATAGTAGACGAAACAAAATTAAGCTCTTATCATTCAAAGCATACTACACCTATGACCATGGTTATTTGCAACAATTAGGCTCTAGAATATACATCACATACACTTTCCTTTACTTATGCCATTCTTTAAAAATATTCAAACAAAGACAATATGCTCACAACAATCCTAACCTCAAAAACCGACTTAATGTCATAATGCACTCATGGCTTGAACACCCAACATCATAGAGAAGTCTAATAACGTTACCTATCCCTCGTGAAA